AGCACGTTGATTCATAATCGGCGGTCTCGATTCGATTCTTTACTTCACATATGCTTTGATTTTAATGGAGAAGAACGGTCAATAAAGAAGTAGAAACAATAGGAAAGAGCTGGGCATTAATAAAAAGCGATTGCCTCTAATAGAATAAAATAGAAGGAGCTTGTAGACGCTCATATGCTCCATGTATGGAGATAAAACTCCTCCATGTACGCACATCAAATTTAACCTTCAAATGGTATATGAGTACGAATTCGCACCGCGAAAATTTTCGAATTGCTGGCATTTGCACAGAGACATCAGTCGCGACTTATCCCCACTACGTTAAATATGCCCGGAACCTTAGGTGTCAGGTTCGAACATGAACAATCTCAGTCTCGTGCAGATTGACGAGATATGGACTTCGCAAGTTCGTTGTGGTGCATATTCGCACTTGTATGTAAAATAGTGTGTGCCAGATCGGTGCCTACTTTTAGCGTTTTACACATTTATAAACATCGTAATATGTCCCTTTTTTACATTACATTATAAACATTGTAATATGTTTCCTTTTTTACATTATAATAACAATAATAACAACAAATAAAACATTTGTATGTATAATCTTATTCCATCTGTTTTCTCTGTTTTAACTTCCATGATAATATGAACAGTACTTTTTAATATAATTTTAATTATGTAAACGGTTTTTATTAATAATTCATTTATAAATTGACAAAATTTGTTCTTAAAATACCTAATTTTCATTAAAATTATTTTTAGAAAAATTTATTAAAAAGATTCAAATTACTATTAAACGAACAGAAAATATCTCAACTTTTGGCTATCTGGAAAAATATTTTACTTTCTATTTCTGCAACAACAATAATTTTTTATTAAAGTACGTTATTTTAATTAAAGAATCACGCAAGTTTCACTTCATTTCATCATGAAATAACAAAAAATGGCAGCTTTTCTTCGAAAAAATGACATTTTTCAAAACGGTAACTTATTTATAATTAATTTTCAATTGTTAAATAGTTTTTTCATTAAATTGAATAATACCGCTGGATTTGTGAGAAAATTTTACTCCCAAAAAGTGTGGTTTTCAAAATATTTCTGTTTTTACCCTCAGGAAAGATGTACAATTTAAGATGTCATATTCAAATTCACGCCATCATTTTATTAGTGGGTGCTCGAACGAAGTGTGCCATTTAAAAGTTAATTATGTAAACAATATTTATTAATAATTCACTTTATAAATTGGTAAGATTTGTACTTAAAATACCTAATTTTTATTGAAATTATTTTTAGAAAGTTTTATTAGAAAGATTCAAATTACTATTAAATAAATTGAAAATATCCCAACTTCTGGCTATGTGGAAAAATATTTTACTTTGCATTTCTGCAACAACAATAATTTTTTATTAAAGTACATCATTTTAATAAAGAATCACGCAAGTTTTACTTCATTTTATGAAATAACAAAAAAATGGTAGCTTTTCTTCGAAAAAGTGACGTTTTTTAAAACTCATTTATAATTAATTTTCGATTGTTAAATAGTTTTTTTTGTTAAATTGAATAATACCGTTGTATTTGTGAGAAAATTTTACCCCAAAAAAGTATAGTTTTCAAAACATTTCTGTTTTTATCCTCAGGAAATATGTACAAATTAAGATGTCAAATCCAAATTCGTACCATCATTCTATGTATTAGTGGGTGCTCGAACGAAGTGTGCAATTTGAAGGTTAAAACTCTCCATAGATCCTTTACAAATCCATAGCTCTAGATGCTCTTAATTAAAATTTCTTACATAATTTAATTACTTTTAGTTATTTAATGTCGTCTTACGGCACTAATTATTTTGATGCAAATTGTTTATTTTTGATAATATTAGCACTAAAGACACGCGCTTTGCGCGCGCTATTATAAAAAATATATAAAAGATGGTAAATATACTGATGAAGGGAGGTTACTCCAATGACCTTGACCTTTACATATGTTGTTAAGGTCATGGACCCTAAGTGACCTTTAGGTGGTTTTAGTCGTCGCTGGGTATTCGTTAAAAAGTTATTAACAAAATACTTGTGGACGGAATAGGCATAAATATAACCATAATAAGTAAAAAGTTATAACAAAAAACTAAATATTTTATTCAATACTATTATTAATAGGATATATTTGTCTCATTATTTGAAAGAAGGCTTCAATTTTTTTTTCAAAAGAATAAATCCTTTTGAAGATCGGAAGAGCACACGAG